TACTTACCATAGAGCACACAGGCAAGGAGCACTGCCTTGTGAAAACATGTGGCGCCACTGTAGCAATAGGTACCAGTGCATTACTATTTTACTATTTGAACTTTTGCGCTATCTTCGTATTGTCAATTAATTCATACATAACATAACATCACGCCTTTTATCCCCGAAAGGGTAGGCAGAGGTGCACATTACGGCACTTAATGCCACTGTAATGTAACACCCACTTTTCACTATTTATATTATGAGTCCCATGTAATAGGGGGTGAGCCTATTGCCATATACCGGGCACAGTTCCAGACTCCGTGCTACCACTGAGAAAACCCAGTAATACTTTGCCCGACCCGGGAATCGAACCCGAGACCCCTTTCCTGGCAGTCGCACTTGCGACCACTCGGCCAATGAGGCAGTCTTTTATTTTCATAATTAATTTATTATAATTAATTATAATTAATTCTTGAAGTAGAATAAAATAAGTTGAAACAGAATAGTAGGTACTACTAAGTATACCTAATTAATGTAGTTCAATGGAAATTGTTCCTGTAGAGTGTTGTTTGTTTCCCATTAAAGATTGCACTCCTAACGTCTATACCTCATGTTGTAGTATGATACGCAACCATGTTGCAATTTATAAACCTTGTCTAACTCCTAGCTATCAATACAACGTATGGAGAGTACACCCACACTACCATGGAAAGTCTCCCTTAAAGCACACTAGCTGCCATTTCTCTCTATTTAATAATTCGTCCATAAACCTATCTCACTCTAACACCCGATCTAACTGCGTACCTACATCCTGAATCGACATTTCCACCTTTACCGTGGCAATTTGTTGGAGTCAGGACATACGTTACATTTATAGATATGTCTAGAATCAAGGGTGTGAGCTCGAGCCGCTCAAAGCAGTGTTGCTATATCGATCCAAGTACTAATAAAACTATATGAAGGCTAATTGGACGGCCCTGGTTGCTACCCGACGCTACACTAGCGTTATATTTTTAACTGTTTACTGTTTAAAGGCCACCTTTTTAATGTTCTGATTAAGCTGAAGAAAAAACTAGGAACTGCTCGTTACTGAACTTAAAATATGTTTTTCTGTCTAATCTTCTCAACATTATAAAGGCTCATTTTTGTTGACCCCGTTATGGCCTTGAAGTATTCCAAGAACAATGCAATCAATACTGCTTCTATTTTCTACATACATACATAACTTCACACCTGTCTCCCATGGGGGTAGGCAGATACTATGGAACGCCAATTACTACGATTCCTACATACCTCTTTCGCTTCATTAACAGTCATCAATCTTTTTACTATTTTCTAATCGAATGATAGTCTCTCCCTCATCTAAGTAACTTTCCCGTTGGCAGGTAGGATTCTAATTCATTAATATTATCTTCTATTCAATCTACTATCTTAAGTATTTGATTACTAGTATTTATTGTATTGATTTGGCACCCGTTGTTCAAGGATTTTCAAAATTACGATTTTAGACGCTTTAACGTCGTTATTAGACCGCCATGGTCTGCAGTAGTATTATCTCTCATAAACATCTCAAAGGAAGAAAAATTTGAAGTTTTTAGCTCAAACATTTTTAGCGCATAGAAACCATATTTTTTTTATATTCTCGTCATTATTCTACTAAGTACTTTCCAGAACAGCTTCAGTTAAAAATAAGTCCAAAAACAATTGAGTACCTTCTTAAAAAGTCTAGACCACTTGTTATGTCTGCTTCTGCTAACTTGTATTTCAAAACAATAACAAGAGTATTGATGTCTGATTACTAAAAAAATTGAAATGTCTAAGATCGTTTGTGTTTTGGTTTATTGAACTAACGTCCGATTACTGAAAGGCTACTCAATTTTATGTTGTACTTAAATATTGTGCCATCTCTGTCATTATACCTACAAAGAATTTGTAGTGACAGACCTATTCTTAAGCGCGTCTTATAATTGAGAGGCGTTTGAGTATTTGGACATAGTAGAAGGTGTTGATTTATGACATGAAATCATAAATTGAAATTATTTATATCTGGTCTGCTGTTTATCAATAGAACAAAATAGAGACTGTAGATACATTATGTATGACAAAGCATTTGTTATTGAAATGGGACTAACAAAACTGATCCAAAACATACCTACTAGTATCGAGCATGGTACTGAATATACAATACAGTTGCAATTTTGTTTTAGGTATCAAACAACATCCACCTCGTATGAAATTCAATTCGTCTATAGGTGACGTAGGTTGTGTCGACACCCCTGAAAACTGTACTAGCTCCCCGGTTCTCCCCACTGCCGAATATAAACAAAAAAATACAGTGTGCTCATACTCAGACGTAGAATCGTCCCCCTATCCTATATTATCTATATTTTCTGTATGATACGATCACCGCGACCGGGGTTTTAAATTCTTATTCTAAATTAAATTCATACTCCTGGAACTCCATTTTGGAATAACCTCTGAGGTGCAAACCTCAAACAAGCTACATTAAACTGAAGTTTAATGTAACTTGTAACTTGTAGCTAGGAGCTTCTACCTGCACCAAAGATTTTTTATATTTCAAAATTTTGTGCTTCCTAACAAGGAAATAGATTGTTGATCATCGTTTCTCAATTTCTGTTGGAACAGGTTGATAAACCTCTTGCTATGGTCACTAGCACCTCCTCGCATTACTTGTACAGAGCTGAAAGGGCCCTGGCTTCCAGTTTTTCTTCCATGGAGGCGTCCTTGCTAGAAGATACTGCTACATAAGGATCTCGCAAGCCACGTGTGGACTGCAAACACGATTTTTCTGACAAACGAGCGGAAGGATCACCTGATGATAAGCATTCAGCGCCGCCCATGGATATCTGAAGTACCAGAGAAATTACAACTGCGTTACGGGTCTTTCGGGGGTTGGGAAATTGAGGGTTAAAAGTGTTCTGTAAGGGGGGAAATAACCTCACTTATACAGTGAAACACACGGCAAGCCTTGTTTTAAACCCGTTTTCCGTGATGCCATGTGGTAACACGGGGAGGCATTCCCGGTCCATTCGTGCCGAAGGATGGTGCCCCCACACTTAAATGGTGGTGACGACTACGAGTGATTATTACAAACGTCTGACTCGCTTCGCTGGCTTGTAAAGATGAACTTCAGTGTTGGGATTTGACTTAGGATTTCCGACAAAACACTAGCGCCTTGTATTGTAACAACAGAATTGGCTATTTTATTACCTACTAACAACACTACGCGGGAGGTGCACCTCCCTTGGACCATGCATTCCATTTCTGCACCGTTCACAAACGGTGAATATGTCACGCGCACAATCAGAGCGCGAGTAGGACCTTCGTTTGACTTTGGATAAGAAATGCACATGTTTTTGTTGGACCTTAAAATCTCGCACTACCAATACAGCGAATAAATATCACAGTAATCAGTAAATACCTATTTATGGGGGGAAAATCATGGAATGTCTCCTCCCGCCCTGGATAAGGCAAGAGGGAGTGTCAGACCCTTGACTGACTAAAACCACTCTTTCCCAATTCTTGGGTATAGCTATAGCATCGGCCCCAATTGGTCTCATCTATAGTCTGAGTCATCTCGTCTACTCACGGGCTTCGTCTCCTCACGCACTTCGCCTCCTCCTTCACAAGCATAACTGCTTTACAAGGAGGAGACGGTTTCCCGGTTTCTCTCAGTATGCATCATGGCCTGAAACAAACTGGGTCCAAAAGTGCGGTTGGTGACAACATCCGGACGAATTTGAAACAGGTACCTCCCGAAACTTCCATGTCAGTTAAGCACCTGTGTCAGGCGGACGGTGAGGACACCGTGACGCGTCTCTAACCACTCTGGAGTCTCTCCACTTCTCAAAGAGTAAGTACTTCTTAAGTTGTAAAGAAAACAATAGATAGTATGATATTCTTACTTTAATAAAATGATACCCGTGACCATTAAGTACCATAATTTTCCATGATCGATCACGTTACTGAGCCGAGCTCTGACTTTAAGGTGGTCGCTTGTGAGCCTAGTTTTCATTCTTAACTTACTAGCTTAGTTCAGGTCTGTGACCTTATCTTACCACGAGTGGTTACCACGAGAGTGCCCGAGATTTTTATTTTACCGATAATGGGATAATACTTGCCAATTGCCATACCAGTAGTTACTTCTTATCTAAGAGAATTAGTATCAACTGGCTGGTCTAGCTATGTGCGTAGGCATCTAGTTGCCGTTTTGCATCAGACTTATGGCATAAATAAAGTACGCAAACATATTATGTTCACTCTTAGATAAGGACAAATGAAAATATAAAGTACCTACATTTAACAGGAAATATCAAAAAATATTCGGGAGTAAAAATGTACGGGTCTTATTCATAAGAAACTGTACTGTAAATAAAAGATGAAAGTATTGTACCTAATTGGTTATTTGAAATATCAGAGATAAGTACGTGTAAGTTCATCTTATCTCTGTAAACTTGGCCTATTGATAAGGTACAAGTAGTTCTTGTACACAGGGATCTTAGATCCTGTCTGAGGAACATATTGACCGAATTATGAGTGTCATAATTAAATGTGTTATCAAAAATTACAAGTAACACAGCATTAATGGTAGTTATCACTAAGTAAATAAAAAGTAATTGCTGCTACTCAAATCATCTTAAATTATTACCTAATGAATGTATACGAAAACAATGTTTTTTTTACTCACTTAAACGGAACTTAACCTACAACATATTACATTATTATGTTGAAACGGAGAGTGCGAAAACAATACGTTGAAGAATACCAATTAAATATATTTTTATCGTATTTATTGAAGTCTGAGTAATTTATAAAAGTAAATGATATGCTGGTCGGGTGTATCAACGATGTACTGAGTGGGAAATGTAATGGAAGGTGCAGAGTGCAGACGATGATGCGCTTGCGCGGGGTGGGCCGGGCGCCAGCGTCGACGCACAGATTCCGAGCGCCTGTAGTGATCGTGCCAGTAGCGCGAACCGCCCCGAACGGCACACACGATGATCGCGCACAAGCACGCGCTCGCCGCCGCGCTGCTGTGCGCATTGGCCGGCCAGCTCGGAGCCGGAGCCAGCCTGCACTGTGCCATGAGGAGAGAGATCTCGCCCTGCACCTGCCGTCGTGAAGATGGCACTGGTGCTATTTTAGTTGTCTGTCAACGTATCAGTGCTTACGAAGAAATTGCTCGGGCTTTAACAAACAAGTTCAGCCCAGAAACAAAAATCGGATTGGATATCTCCTACTCCCAGCTTCCGGACTTTTCTGACCACAGCATCAAAGAACTCGGACTTTCTATCACAAGACTTAAACTAAACTTCGACAATTTAAGGCAAGTCGATTACGAAGTATTCTATCATCATCATCGGATCTAAGTTCGGTTTCTTGTGCAGTTTTCCTAATGTGTGCGGTTGTGAATATACGTAATGTCGATATATTGTGTGTAAGCTCTTTGTTGTGTAAAATAGCATTAAAATTGTGTGTATCACGATACAAACAATGTGTAAGTTGAATGAGAGAACAACAGGTCTATGATAAGAAGAGCGCACACCGATGAGGATCGGCTGTTATCGAGAGAGTGGGCGGCACCCTTGCCAGGGCTGGCAGCGCTCGCCTGCTACATCATGCGAGGCGTACGCATCGAATGTGAAAGAATCGAAACTAACATATATTCCATTTATCGTTACTTATGCCCTGGAGAAAATAGGATCTAACCGCCACTCGGTAAATTTCCCCTCAAAGTGGGTTTATTATTGTAATGTTTCTTATCAGCTTCATATTACTACAACTAATATAAACGCAAACACGAGAAGTGTGGCATGAGTTAGGTAACGGGCATTCTGCGAGTGACTAGCGTGTGAGAGCACGAACTGCGCCTGAGCAAATCTTCACATAGCTAAGCTATCCATCTTTCTTTTGCGAATCCTCCTGCTTTAAACGAAGACTGAAACCGGATCCGTAAAATGATTGAGTATGTATCAGAGAGCACCAATGGCTGTCTTATTGTCGATAAAAATCGGTTAGTACCGCTGAAAAGAAGATAGATTTTAAATATCAGCGGTTTATAACTATTACCAGATATAGTAACGACACTTACGTCTTTAAAGCGTCTTTGGGGGAATCATTTATCCAATAACTTTTATCCTTCGTAGGTTTCAGTGTCTCAGAGGAAAACTACCAGTCTTATATACCATGTAACCTACCTACAGGATAACATAAAGAACCCTCATTTCATCCATGACAAACGCAAGTACCTGATATGTTTTTCAAATTTGTAAAATTTTCCAAATACAAAGTTTGATAGTTATATCATCTTACGTTTGTTTCGTTAAGGAATCTACTAAATAACGGCAGACAAAAGACATAATTATTCGCTTGTCTAATAAGTTGGTCTACTTTGACTTTTTATGTATGTTTTGGTAGGATGCGATATGTTCTGCGGGTTATTCCTTACAAAACAACAATTAAGTCGCCCATGACCCATGAGCTCGGCTCTTATTGACCACTCAATTGATCTTCACAGATTTTTCGGGTCATCCCAATTATTTATTTTTTCTGGTCTTTTATTGAAATCTCTACTCGCTGAATGGATTCTTTCAATTGTTTTGTTATTTTGGCCTGGATATGCAAATACGTTATTATTAATAATTGGAAAGTAGTTTTATCTAATGGATTATTATTTATTAATTCCATTAGTAACCTTTCGTTAGTGAACTCCAGATGTGTGGGGATGGCATCTAGGAGACGTTGCCCGGGGTTATCTAAGGTCGCTTCTAAAGCAGTAAAATTGAATGATATCATATTGGTCGTGTCGTATTCACTGTATTTACTCATTAATGATGAACTAACAAATTACTGTAGTCGTTGTTTATGTATTTCTACATGGATACTTCAAAATAATAATGTATGTAAGAATGCTACATTGGTTATTCAAATACATGTTTTGTTTTGTTGGTTAGGCATTTTCATTGATGTCCCACTTGCCTTCATAGACATTTCTGTTCCCTACTATATAGGAATGGATTGAAGCGCATCATCAAATATTAAGTAATCTTAATTTTCACGTTTTGCTTTATAGTAGGTATTCGATTAAATCATTCATAACAAAAGTGATACACGTAATATCAATGGCTACGTTTATTGTAGTCACGATGTCCTATCTGTATGACATATCTTTCACGTGGTTTTAGATCATTTGGCTAATTATTCGGTCCGAAGGTTCATGTCATTGATTACAAAATGTTATTTACAAATCAGTTCTACTTCTAATTCTTTCGTTGACATTATGTCAGTAGCTTTAAAATGAATATTTTGTTTTTCACCAATACTTTTAGGATCTAATGGTTTGTTCTTACAATATATTGCGATGAATTAGTGTAAGACTTATAAGTCTTATAAGTCTTACACTAATATACCTAGTAGTCAGTAGTAGTAGTAATTAAAGTAGTAGTAATTCAAAGATACCTATAGTAGATTATAATCTACTAGGTATCTTTTAGAATAGCGTACATACCTATGTAATATAAATTCGTATATAGGGTAACACATATATCTGCTCTTAATTTTCAGATGTTTATAAAGCACAAAATAAAATGACGATTAAAAAAAGATTAAAATGATTTTGTTGTACTCTTTGAGCATAAAAACAGATTATACGGATCTAAACAAACAGTCCAAAACCGACACCAACGGTTGTTAAAACTTAAAAAACACAATAGGGACGTATCAATTGAAATATAATTATGGAAAAATACTTCTCACCAAATAGATCGAGATAAAACTAGACGAGACGATAAAAGTTTAATAATATATCAGTACAGTGCTCCTATATTTTTCCTTAAAAGCTATAATTTTTCCTTAAAACAGCAAATCTACTGAAAAAAAATAAACTAACTAATTTTAGTGAAATTGAAACGGACTTTTTGTGGATTCAGTTTTATTTCTTCACCGTGAATTAAAATCGGTTGGAAACCATGGTCATCATCTTCAGCGAGCTGTGGAGAAAAGATAAAATCTTCATGTAAAATACTGATTTTCAGTCAATTCTGGATGTAGTACAGAAAACTATGATGTGGAATTGGCTTTTATTCGATCGTTTTAAGGGTCTGAACTTGTTGCATCATACCTAGAAACAGTTAAAACCGTCCACGAAGGGGGGAATTTGTAGGATCTATGCATTCGCCGTTTGAAGGGCGCCTATTTTCATTTGTTGATTGCATGCATTCCTCAAAAGACGTGTCGTGAACAACAACCCTAAATCGTAACTTTTATTTCAGTAGTCGAGGGTATCTGATATTTGTTTATGGTTGGTACGCCCCACACTATGAGTACCTGATAGAATTTAGGTCTGCCGGTTTGAATGATGGCAGTAGACGTACGGAAGGACGAGAACACCTTCAAACCCTTTCTACTTCATATTCACGGTGAAATCGACCAATTAGTTTATTGAAAATCTTTTTACCCGTTTAAAAGCTAAACTGCGTTGGTATTGCTTATATCTTATTGTTAAATCTGACAGGTTCCAATAAATTCCAAAAGACCTTCATGGGCTCCCCTACTATTTAGTATCACTACATACCAAGTTGAGAAAAGGTCAGGTTGAAGGATTAGATAATAGGACGTTAAACCTTACCAACCATAAATGGATTGACTCATAATGAAATATTAGCTTCTGCCAGCGGCCTCGCCCGTGTTTCCGCGGGGTAAAACGTGGCATGTGTGTTGTTCCAGAACATAACCTAACCCGGTTCATCGCGAAGGACACTTCGGGCGTCGGGTATCGCGGGACGATCTCCGGCCACCGTAAGCGCGGGTCTGCGGACGGCGAGCATGGGTGGCTCGCCGCCCGACTAGAACCAGGCCCAAGCGTACGGCGCGTCGCGTTCCGCGCGCGCCTCAAACCACCACGGATGGGACCCAATAGGGCTGATGCCGATTCGGAGTCGCGGAAAACCTAACGGGTTACCGGGGCTCCGGCTCGAAGAGCAGGAGAAGGATCGGGTGGTTTTTAGTTCGTAAGAGTCTGACACTCCTTTCCGCCTCACCCAGGCGGGAGAAGAAATTCGATGATTTTCACCTCTTAAACAAAACCTAACCCGGTTTCAAATTTCATCTCAATCCCTGTAGCCGTTTTGACATGAAAGAGTAACAAACACACACATACTCACATACATCTTGACAAACTTTCGTATTTATAATATCAGTAGGATAGGATAGGATTTAGAAAACAAGAGACTATGACGTTTCAGGTACAATTTGTACTTAGTTGAAACGTATACGTTGCTTTTTTCTTAGTCCGACTTCTTTGAAAGTCAAGTTATTTCTCTCAAAGTTTCTTTTTGAAATGCCTTCGTAAAACACGTGCCTAGGGGTGTCTTAGTTATGTAGTACTTCCACTTCAAGTTTCTGAGACCTTGTTTCCAATTCAATGTCACATGGACCTCCCCTTATCATACCTTGTTTTGAAATGTGTTCATTTGTGGCGTGTTAAAGTCCTATGTTGAAATCTCTTGAAGTTCTCACATTGAAAATGTTATAAGTCTTCCTACCGGGTATCGGCATGGTGTGATATTTCCTGCTTCGTGATTGGCCGTTGTAGCGATCAATGAGAGGTTCGCGAAGATGCGCAATGTCTAAATCGATTTGGCTCAATAATGGCGTTGTTCATCGTCGAGTATGGTATAAAATATTCTAACTCCATTCAACTCAGCCTTTAAAACAGAAGGGTGCGAAGGATAGGAATTAGTATTGCTACCTATTTATTCTCGTACTTTCATTATACTACGTGCTTGTAAATTTAGTAGATAAAGAAAGAATATAGGCCGCCTACCTATATTTTGTCATTTCTTGCAAACATTTTAAAGATTATTTTGCGTTAAAAGATGATTTTTCAAAATATCTTTGTTTGGTTAACATTTACGAGGAAGAGCAGGTGATCTCTTAGCAAACACAACTAGATATGTACGTAATTATTGTTTAAATTGTCATTCATTGACTGGATATATTTTAAGAATCAATGAGTCATCTTGACCTAAGGTACAGTCTTGGGCCCAAATGACTCATGATTATAAAAACGTGCAGTGTCTTGAATTTGGGCCGCCTGATGAAATGAAGCTAATAGCTAGTGTCCGACCGAAGGTGTATTTTTGGCCGAAGCCGAAGGTTTATATTTTCTCAGCACTCAGTCAATTATTTTGTTCAATATTGTCTACAAGTTACAATTAATATTAAAATTATTTCAAAACCTCAATATTGAAGGTTTATATTGACTGTCTTATAAAGAAGTTTATGATATATCAAAGAGATGGTTGGTTTAGAGATTAATAAAAGTTC